CAGTAACGTTCATTGATAATGCCGTAGCAAGTCTCATAGGTATGGTGCCTTCCAATGGACAACTTGCATGTTAGACTAAATTTTAATCTAAGTAAAGAGAAGGGAATAAAACACAACAGTTAAAAAGAAAATAATGAAATTAGTAAAATTGCAAAATTTGGTTGCGAAATGTTGTAAAATACAGAAAATATAGCCTTGCGAAATTTGCATATTAATTATTTTCAGTATATTTGTATTACGTGCGGAAATTGTTACCATTTTCGGCTAAAAAATGGTGAAATTTTTGTCTAGATCAAAATTTTAGTTATAAGGGGAAAGGTCCATTGCGGAGGACACATGAGTTGAATCTGATCGATTCGAAGGCGAGTCGAAACATCATTTAAGACAGTTTAATACACGTATAGCTCTTTCCTTGGCAGATTTTAAGTATAATTGACAACAATTTTTGTTTTATTTCATGCAGTTTCACGGCCCCTAACGTTTTTGCGCCACCTAAAATCCCTCACAGTGGGCTGAGTGTTGGGGGCATGGCCACCCGTCATGCAGTACGTCGCTGCTACCTGTCAGGAGTGTCGGTTATTTCTAACCGGTAATAATGAATTGAAGTGACGCAATTATTCACATATTATAAGCACTTTGTTCTTGAATTAAGTAGAAACTAATTATTTTTATGTGGAAAACATAATATATATTTCGGTGACGCACAATTATATTGTTGTAAGACAATTTTACACGACAGTCAATTCGGGTACGGTACACTTAAATTTTGGCACGCGGATCCACGCTTTTTGGCACACGGACCCATGCACGCATTTACACGACAAAATTGATTTACACGATAAAATATTTTTTATTCTAAAAATTTTGGGTTCGGCACGCTTAAACTGCATGGGAACGGCATTCTTACATCCAGAGACCTTGACTTGACATGAACTATCTGATTTCTTTATTTCTCTGCTAAGATCAGACACTTTTTACATTCTGCAATAATTTTCGTAAAAAAATACAATCAACTATATTGCTGTTGACAAGGCGCCTATATAGCGTCATTAAATAAAGTTTTACATACAATATATACATGCGACATATATGCACAGTCACATATATACACATGCATGACGGCCTATAAACTGCTTAAAATACAGTTCCTTTTTCTCGGCTCTGCTGGGTAATAGTTTCTTTATCCAAATTTTCTCTTGACATGTATACAAATGCAATATTTTTGGAATGTAAGAAACAAAACGCGTGCGTAACCGGTCGTGGACCTATAGTTAGGCGGGCCGAGACTGCCTCTTGAAGAGGTCTCGGCCTGGCTAAAATTTTGGGTACGCGCACCAAATGTTTTGTGTCTACACGACAAAAAGATGTTCGGTTGTTCTGAGTAAAAAAAAATGATTTTTCGTGCCAAGTATTCAAGTTTGAAAATAAGGCTACCGTTGGAAGGTTGAACGATAGGCATTAAATAAAAATGTAAACATAAAGTGCGTTGATTGATGAATCAACTAAGACCGTAACTAGCATGACTATAGGCCTATAGACCCATGAAGTACACTCATGCATGATCGCAATCCTGGTGGAAAATTCCTTTAGAAAACATCTTTTATCAAAAAATGTTTGACACCCTTACCTCAAAAGTCTTTGGAACATTTTTCTTCGAAATAATTCTTGATATTTTAAACTCCGAGTAAAAGAGCGTTGTTATCTTGATGCACACCTGTCACAGGTAGTTTCAGTAAATGAAACAGTTATTCCTAAGCAGTTCACATAAGTTCATAGAAATTATAAATATTAATGTTGGAGAACATGTTTGATGTTACTTGGGCCCCGTTTACACTATACCGGATATCCAGCGTCGCGATTTTCATATCGGATTCGGCTGCTGTACTGGCACTACGCCACGGTAATCCGGTACGCGACGCGGAGTAAAAATCACTCCGCTTTGGAGGTGATATGAAAAGTAACTCGGTATGACCCAGTGGCGTAGCCAATGGGGGGGGGGAGACCGCCCCCCCCCAATCGCAAAATAACCATTCTCTGAAAAAGGCTAAATCCGTAGAGAAATTGGCGGAACGTTACATCCTCGAAGCTGAAACTGATTAAGTACGTCTCGACTGAGGAAACGATGATATACTGGAGGAACTTGATTTGTAAAATCTCGTTAAAGCAGTTGTAGATATGGTTCCAAGAAGAATAGATTTAGTTTAGATTTACATGTATGCATTATCATAGCATGAATATTCTTCTCAGACTTATTCTGCATCGTATAAAAAAGTAACGCAATTTTGAGAATGAGGAAATGCGGCTGTCTCATAGAACCTAGAATGATTTAAATGCAACTTTTCTGATCAAAATCACATTGGGATTTTCTTCCCTTAGCATCACAGAGGGGAAATATGGTGACGCTGATCGGCTCCTCCTGTTTTTCAAGGTGACTTTTCCAATTTATTTAATTCCGACTAGAAAATTGTCGGGGAAAATTTATGTCTTCGATGTACTTTATAATCGTCGGAATTCTGCAAGATGTCACCCCCAGAATGCTTGAAATCGCATTTCAGGGACTCTAGATTTCAAAATTACTTCGGAGTGAAAATTCATCCGGTATGAAAAATAATCAGGTATAGTGTAAACGGGGCCTAGGGACGAAATTAAGTGAAAATAATTCCATAAACAATTTAGAAATTGGGTACTTTTATGAACCAGCGTTTTAATTTAAAGCAGTTTATTCCTGCTTTATTGTCGGTCACTTTTGAAAATAATCAAGTTGATAGAACTACTGTATAATAATAACGGTCAGAGCTGTAATATTTTAAAAACCTAATTTTATAGGAATTAAATATTAATTTTGAAAAGCATGTCTGCATGATGTTGCTAACGCACGAAATTGTAAGTGTCGCTGCGAACAAATTCGGAAATTTCGTTAAAAGTTTGCATATTTTATATTCCAAATACACATCTTTTCTCTGTCAAAATGTTTCTTCACAAAATGGCGGATAACAAAGACATTTGACTCGCCCCAGACTCCTGTGACAAGGATATCGTGTGGTCTTAGTCAAAGACAATATGGCAAAGTTTCATCGATCATTTGCAATTGAGTTCTTATATAGTTTAAATGAGCTTGTGAATGACATCTGGAAGAAAACTTAAAACAAACCGCTACTCAGTAAATGATGGGACAATTAATGAACTCCGATTTCAATTTCATTAATAATTTTGAGCATAAAAAGTGCACAAACTTCGAAATATGATTTATTATTAATGACAATAGAGTGTCTAGAGTAAGTAATGTGCAACTGAAATTGTCATGTAATATGTTTACATGAGACCGGTACGAAAACTTACAAAATTTTTAATTTATTCCCCTTGCCAGGCAATTTTCTTTTTTAGATGGCTTTTGTTAGCATGTGTTGTTCCAATGTCATGCAATGTCACAGCCGCGAGACCATAGATATCTTACATACACTAGATAGCGCATCTCTTTTAGTAAAATTGAAGCCAAGAATATTTCATTATACTTGTTAAATGTCAAATAGCTATGGCGCATGCGTAATAAAATGTTTTGAAAATAATTGCGGATGACTATGAAATATAAATTTGTAGGTTAGGCCATATAAAATAAATTCCTTGATTCTCATCACCGCCCGACGATATTTTGGTGTCCGCGTTGATATATTTTTGTATTTTGTTACCGCCCGACCGAGCATCTTCAGAGATTTAGTTATTTTTATATTTTATATTGGAATTTTTGCGATATAAAATTGTTTTACCGTTAATATTGCAACATGTTAAGGGATGCTTGGAATACTGAAGGAAAAAATGGGCTTATAGCCTTATTACAACGATTTGTGTGGACCCTTATGCATGTTCATTAGCGCATGTGCAATTATCCACTTATGTAGCGTTCTTCTATAATATATTTAAGGGCAAATATAAAAGACCTCCCTCTCCAATTTTTAAATTTTAAACTTTTTTTTATATTTTGACATAAAATATAAAATATAAACCTCCCGCCTCCTGGGAGTTTTTAAAATTTAGCGATGAGAATCAAGGAATTTATTTTATATGGCCCTAATTAATAAATTTTAGCTACAAGTTGAATTGAGCGTTGTGTTATAATTTCATTTTGGGCGGATGAAAATTTCATGTGCCCATAAAAAACATCCATGACCTATATGCTAGTTTTTTAGCCCCCGCGGCTCAATGTATAGATACCCAGTGCTCGAGTCCAGTGGCAATGCTTGTAAACGCTTTTACACAATATATATGAACAACGAGAGCGAGTGTTTCACCGGGATATAATAGAATGCTTTCGTTTGCTGATTTGAATAGAATTCTTAACCAAGCATAACGTAATTAGGAATTCTATTCAAGTAATTTTGCATGCGCAGTTAAGATATTTTATGAAAACACTAATGACTTTCATCAAGTTTCACCGGGTTATCCAAATGGCATCTTGTGATTAAATATAGGTGATTATCATTGGCTGATTAATGAATTTGAGAACTCTATAGGAAACATTTAGATTTTATGATAGTTTTTTACCAACCTGTGTGCGGAAGTGGGATTTGCCTTGAACCTTTTGAATTTAATAACTTAATACAATAATGCATAAAATTTCTATATTTGTATTGTACATATATTTTTATATATTCTAATCTAAACTATTCTATTTTAATGTTACTTGTTACTTGAGTTTTTCAGTTTCTTTTTTGTAAACTGCCATTCAAGTTTTAATAAATTCAATTCATCTTATCGTAAAACGATCGACAACCCACCTCAAGCGTTTTTGGAACATTTTTCGCTGAAATAATTCTTAATGTTTGAAACTCGGTAAAAGAGCGCTATATATAATAGTAACAACAAGAGCTGCATGTCCCGAGTATTTTAGTAAATAATGAACTCCGGGTCTACTTGATAAGCATCGCATGAACCGACCTTACTATATAATTAATTATATCTAAATTTAAGGTCCATCCATCAATATCTCTCCATCATCAACTAATCTAAAGGAGACGGTCGTGCTGTATTGGCTTACGCATCCCAAACCAAAGCTGGGTCGTTGAATGAGCATTCTTTACACATCTATGAAAGCGTTTTCCGCAATCACGAAGATAATAATAGTAACCAAAAAACCCAAAACCGTCCTCGGTACATGATAATAAGTTAATGCCCGTACATGCTGGATTAACAGCACTTTTGCTATCTATAAAAATAACATGCAAAGGCCAATCCGTCCCCTGATGGAGCCGAATTTGACACAGATTTAAATCATATTCTCCGATTTTACCACGCCCTTTGCCAATAGTATCATGGTGTGTATATCCGCTGAACTCAAGAACGTCGACTTTCTCATCTCCCGACCAGGTTCTAATATTTCGAAGGTCAATTTTGGCGTAGTCGGATTTCTTTAAATCAAGATATTTCTCATAATCACAGGTAAACTGCAGGAAAATTGAATTATTTTTAATAGATTTCATTCTTGGTTTGCTAAGTCGATAGCCACTCCATGTTAGAGCATTTTCACTGATAGGAATGTCCTTTGACAGAGATTTTGTGAACTGAACAAGAGATCTATTTGCAAAACTGTAAGACTGCACCAGAGTCCACGCTACATGATCAGAATCGAAATGACAGTATACTTCATACGAACCATTGACAGAATCCACTACATGGTACATGCCCGATTCTCGGTGACGGTCCAAATACCCGCCACATGATCTGATTAGCTCGTCACAGTTGTCTCCATGGTAACCATCGGTGCATTCGCAGGTAAAACGTTTCCAGGGCTTTTGTTTGAGGGAGTTGATTTGTTTACATATTTTGTTCTTGGGACAGATATTCGATTGGTGACAACAGTTGTATTTCATTGAACAACTCATGCCTGAACATTAACCCTCCAGTGACTAAGAATATGAAATGCAAGTGAAATTTATTAATGGCTAGTTATAAGTTATTTAACAAGGAGTGTAAGTCGAAGATAAATCCCTTCCATGCATGCATATTTTAAAGTATGAAGGTATCATGTTGTTTACTCTCCAGACGACACATTTGGAGTTAAAAATAACTCTACTGGGTTTCACTCCTTAAAATTAACAGTGCCTTAATTACACAGGAGAAACATCACATGTAAATTTTAAATTGCTTGAAAGCGTTACATGGCAATACATGCATGCATTACCTGAAACGTTTCTGTTCAATCTCGCATCTCGTACATAGCATAGATGCAGTCTTTTTTCTCATGAAGCAATGAACTGTTCTCTTGCTTGTGACTGGAACACAGTTGACATTTTGTGTCTTGACAAATTTGAAACGATTGACACCGACAGTTCTCCAAACAGTGCTCCAGACGATCTGCTATGTTTCCACTTTCAATGTTGAACGTTCCAATAAGACAGGATTCGTCAAATGCTTTGTTTTTCTCAGCTTTTATAGTGAATTGTGGTTGACTGTTGAACAATGATGCGTTGCTGTAAGACAACGTTGCCAAAATAATGGCGGCTAGACTATAAAATAAATTGATTGGCTTGAGAGAGTAGATACTTATATATGCATTATTATATCAGTTTTCGCATTTTGTATTTGTTGCAATTCCCTCTATCTTGAACTACATATTCATTTCAATGGTCAATAGACAATATTGAACTATTCCAATTCTTAACTATTAGTTACAGCAATTTTTTAAAATCTTACCTTAAACGCCTTTGGAGCATTTTCTGTAAAATTATTACTGGTATCATCCTTGAAGCTGTAATTGTCAGAAGCTTATTTGACATTTGATGCATCATATAATACTGAATTGAAACGTCATAATGATTGCATGTCGGGCCTGTCGGGTAATTTAACTGTACAGAATGAAATAAGTAATCAATTCATTGACACAACACGAGGTTTCTAGGATTAAATATTTACTTCAGTGGCTATGGCCTGATTAATCTTGTCGACAGTGACAGTATTTATGAATTACATCGAAAATTATTAACCCAAGCTGTTGCTCGTCTGTTATATGTACAGTAGAGCGTTCATGGCTTCTATACCTATAGCAGTTAATCAACGAAAAAGCAGGAAATTATATCTCATCGAAAACCTGCTGATCCAGTAAATAGTTCTAATTAATTTAAGTAAATAAAAGCAATCACATAGGACTAATGACTTACATCACACGAATGTCGAAAAGTTCGACGTTTCACCGCACAGACCTACAGTAAGCGGGCTAAGGCTAATATATACAACTTCAATATAATTGTTCATATACAGCTCTATAGGGTCCCGAAAAAAAAAGTAGCAACAGCTATGTTCCAGATTTAATAAAATTTAATCTAAGAGATGAATATTGACTCTAAGATTATTAAAATTGGTCTAGTAGAAACAAAGAAACCAATTGGCAATTAATACTTAAAAAGAGCAGATGCATGCATGATTTCAATAATCCAATGGGTGGACCTAGAGGGGTGAACCAGACTTTATTTTACAACAACCATGATAACATCAGTTCTACTACAGCCCTTTTAACGATCTTAGTCTCAACATTCATCTCTTAGATTAAATTTCGTTGCCAACTAATAATTAGTTGTGTAAAAATATGAAACATAGCTACTAAATTTTTTCAGGCACCCTCTATGTGTATTTGCAAATAGCCCCCCCCCCCCATGCAGATAGTTTTAAATTATTATTTTTGCAGCGATTTCTAATGTAAGTTTCTTCCTCTGACGGATGTGAACGAGTAGACGAGTTAATACTCGGAGTATATGTACACCACTGATCTCAAAACTAGGGCTGGATAGAGCGTCTGCTTGAAGACAATGTCGGCCATTTTCGTGTGAAAATGGCCGCCTCACGTCTCATTATCTCGCGTTTAAAACAATCCAAAAGAGTAAACGTGGGAAGAAGAACTGTGGGAAGCTATATCTTTCAAGTTACGTAGAGGAAGATGTTTGCTTGATAGATTCGTAAGGAATTTGACAGTGAAAAAATCTCTCCTCACTATAAATATTGTGGGTTCAAAATTGATTCCCTAAATTCAAAAGGTTCCTCCATCCACCTCTAGTATTGAGATGAGTGATCGTTTACAATCGTCAAAAGAAAATCGCACCTTGACTGCAGCAAAAATTGCAAGGGTATAAAACGGGCCTTAAGTGTTTACAACTCAATAAATATTCATATATATATATATATATATGCAAAAATTCTAAGACTACATCACGAGATTGCATGGACGCATTCGGGAACCTTATATACAAAACCTCGTCGAGTGCAATTATTAGACAGCTTAAGATCTACGACGTCGACGTCAGCTAGGACGTCAGGGCTATGCAGAGGACTGGGACTAGGATGTCGTCCTAATGTAGTCCCAGTCCTCTGCTTAGCCCTGACGTCCTAGCTAACGTCGACGTCGCAGATCTTAAGTTATCTACCATTGGTTTCATGTGTCTTGTGTAAAAACAAAGTGTACAATAGAGCAAATTTCTGTACGGTTACCAACTCTGGTCAGGTGTTCTAAGTTCCATAACATTTTATACAGATACAGTTCACTGTAATTTTCGAATTTCCAAATGGTGCACAATATGGAATGCAATTAATTTACAGCGAGGCTTTCATCAGGGATTCCCCGAGGCTTCAACGGAACCGCCGGAAGTTGTGTCTCCATGAGGTGGTTGTGTTGTGCTAGCCTTACTCGTCTTACTCATGCCAAACCATAGCTGGGTCGTAGAATTAGCATTCTGCACACAACGATGTACTTTTTTAACACAAGCAGAATGTGAATGATAGCTGCCAAAAAGGTTGTAATAGCTATTGTCGGTACAAAACAATACGTTGAATCTACATCCATAAATCCTATAGACATGCAAAGGCCATTGCGTCCACTGAACGAGCTGAATTTGACAATCACGTAAATCATATTCTCCAACTTTACCACGCCCATTGCGAACAACAACATTGGGTGTGTATCCATTCAGTTCAAGTACGTCAACGATGTTTCCCGCTACTGTGGTTTTAAGATGTTGAAGCTCGAGTTGAACGAAGTCGGACTGGTTTAAATCAATGTGTTTCTCATAGTCACATGTGAACTGCAGAAAACTTGAACTACTTTTGATAGATTCCATTCTTGCTTTGCTAAGTCTATAGCCGCTCCATGTCAGAGCATTTTCACTGATAGGACGATCTGCGGATAAAGATTCCTTGAACTGATCAAGAGAACCATTTGCAAAACTGTAAGACTGCACCAGAGTCCAAGCTACATCAGATTCAAAATGACAGTATACTTCATACACTGTCTTTTCAGAATCCATTACTTTGTGCATGCCCGATTTTCGAGGACCATTTAAATACCCGCCACATGACATGATTGGCTCGTCACAGTTGTTTCCATGGTAACCTTCTGGGCATTCGCAGCTAAAACGTTTCCAGGGCTGTTCTTGGGAGTCGATTGGTTTACATGTTTGGTTCTTGGGACAGAGACCTGATTGTTGACAACAGTTGTACTTCATTGGACAACTTATGCCTGCCAAACACTGCTCGTCCAGTTTCTTAGAAGATAAAATGCAATATGGTCACAATCGTGAATATTAATAACAAAATATTGGATGTATATAAATGCATAATATTTACCAGATGATCTTGATACGCGGAAAAGTACTGGCACTAGTTGTCAAATAGAAATTCATTTTATGATTAAAACAACTGAATATCTCCTGTAATATACTTTATTTCGATTCCATATTTTTGTCAGAGCTAGAGTTCTCATAACCAAACATAATTACAAAATTTCAACTAGTTTCATAAAGAATAACGGGAGATATAATTGACTGAATACATCAAAATGGATTTCTATTCGGACAACCCTTTCTGAGCGCTGATTGGCTAAAATACGAACACGAGATCACCTGGTAGACAGGAAACACATTGAAATATCTCAAAAATATGACAAATGTAATTTTTTTCTTCACTTTTTAAATTAACAGTCACATGCATTACCTCAGAGGCATTACCTGAAACGTTTCTGTCAAATCTCGCATTTCGTACATAGCATAGATGCAGCCATCTTTGTCATCAAGCAATGAACTGTTCTCTTTCTTGTGACTTGAACACAGCTAACATTTTGTGTTTCCCCAAATTTGAAACGACTGACACCGACAGTTCTCCAAACAGTGCTCCAGACAATCTGCTATGTTTCCACTTTTTATCTTGAACGTTCCGACAAGACAGGAATTGTCAAATGCTTTGTGTCTCACTGCTTTTATGGTAAACTGTGGTTGGCTGTTGAACATTAAGGCGTTGCAGGTGTAAGACAGAGTTGCCAAAACAATGGCGGCTAGACTATATAAATTAAAAATTGTAGGTAAACCTTCACATGATATGTCATGTACTAATCTTATAGTTAATTTTATACAGACGTTTTATATATAATAGGGAGTTTAAGGTGGCTCCCTACAGTTATAGTCCAGTTTAAAATATTTATATAGCTCAGACGTCATCCACGCGACTCGCGCGTGGAATCGTCGTGGCCCGGTAAAAATCTTGAAACAAGTAAACAAGCCGCGGGAAGTTGTTTTTGTATTTTTATCTACAAAGAAAACGCCAGTTTTTTACTATAATCCTAAACTTTTCAACATTCGAACAGTACGTATGTTGTTAGCTAGTTTTTACCTACATTCAGTGTGTTTTTTTTTTATATATTTAATACGTTCAGTACTGTATTTCATAATAATGCTCACAATGTTCAACAACAGTATCACGGACTGAAATTATATTTTATACTGTCTTGAAGGCACTCCTGAATTGTCACTGAAACGTACGTAAACCCTGTCATTCAACTCAGTTCACATGTAGTTTTTTATCTGCTGAATCCAATAAAATTATAATGCAGACAGTTACGAGTTGTTTTATACGAAAAGTCAAACTCTACTTGAATGTTTTGAAAAGTTTTCACACCGATTTTCATAACAAAACTAAATTTAAGAAACGTTGGATTAAGTCAGTGCGTTATTGTGTTCTCAATGTTTCACTATTTTGAATACATATATCTTTTATTTTCATTTCAAATAAGTAAAAAATATCTGTGTGATACATATAAGCCAAAAACTCAAAGAGAAAATTGCTAAAAAAGCCAACTATAAACCGTACGCGTTTCGTGTTCCCCACGCAAATAGTGATCATGTCGAATCGATATTTTGTCACGTCAACAGCTTCAACTGGATTTAGGACTATTTTTCTCGCGTTTCCTTCGGTGAAAGTTTTTTAAACTTTGCACGTTTGCTAAGCATGACGATTCGCCAAACATATCAAAATTTCAAGAAATTCTATAAGACAGATTTTTTGTAGTCGTTATTCATGAATATCTCAAAACCGGCCTTATAAACATCCCTTCAAATTTTAATATGTCATTCCCCTTTCAACCATAAATCTTAAAAAAAAAATCAGAAAAATTAACCGAAGGAAAAAAAGATATTGCCGTTTGATTGTAAAATTAGACAATAAAAGTGCAAAAGATGAAACGTCATAGTTGCCATGGCAACACTAACACTGTTCCTATTTGTGCATATATCGACAGCAGAAGACTTCTGAACTTTCCTGGAAATGATTATATTGCCCTGTCTTAAGTGTTTTCAATATAAATTTGGTTCAAAACGAAGGCTACCTAAAATACTTAAAATTTTAGAAAACTGTAGGGAGCCACCTTAAGCTTCACGTTTCCGGGAACGGCAAACGGCAGGTTTGAATTTTCTTGGCAAAATTTTTGTTGAACGTTTTCGTTTCATATTTTCTTTCTTCTGTCGAAAGTAGCCTCCTCCGCAGGCAACTCTGTTATTTCTGTCACATCAGTATCACAATTCACAAAGCTCAGTGATCAGTACGGTTCCCCTGTGTAGTGTATGGGCGGGCGGGTTACGCGGGCGGGTTACAGGGAAAAGAAAAGGAGGAGTTGCCTGCCATATATCGAATGGTAGTGACGTGCCGATGTAGATTGGATGGATGCGCCAATGTACCCGGGTACACTAGGGAAGGTTTTGCACATAATATAATTGCATTCTACATGCTTACTGTAAATATGGCGTCGAAAGCATGTGGGCAAATTGACGATAAGCAGCGGAGATATATAAGTAAAATACCAATTTTAAGTAAAAACTACAAGGACAGTTTAAGAAATGTAAAACATAAGCGTCTAGATATCGAAAGAAGAGAAGCAGAAATGAGTTTGATGCGAAAAGAATTGTTGGAAATGTCAGAAGGAAGGCCATCGCCATCGGTATATTTAACAGTTGATCATGGAGATGATAATGGTCGATCTGTAACAACAGAATTATTAAAACCTGCGCCAGCGAGTACCACATTAATACCGTCAAAAAGTGTTGTTGAACCACTTAGAAGCGTTATTATCACTCCAAATGGAACGAAACGGAGAGGTAAGGTTATTTAAATTAATTCAATATTTATGTATTGAAGAATGTAATTGTCAATTGTGTATAAAACAGTCAAAATACAAGAAATTTAATCCACCTATTCTGTTGTTATTTTCTTTAATTTGTTCTGTGTTGTTCTGTATTAGTATGGAAGTGGAAAGATTCTTGTATTTTGACTGTAAATGTTTTTCTAGTTAATCGGGGATTCATCGTAAGTTCAGTTTGGATTTGGAGAAAATTCTTCAGACCTGTGTGACAGTTGCAGAGGGAAAAGAGCTGAAAATGTGTGATCTGTTTGACAAGCTTGAGGAAGTCTCACCAGGGGTGAAGAGAATCGAACGTGAGAAAGTCCTACGCACGTTTGGTAAAATATTTCATACTAAGCTCCAGCATAAAGGACAACAACGAGAGTATGTTATTAGCTGAATTCATATTAGAAAACGGATTTACTCGCCTCAGACGAGAAAATCGTCTTGATATGAATTCGATTACTGTAACGACAGGTTTTCCATCTCAACTCTTCCGTCTAACTTTCCTGTTTGAACGACGGGAAAGTTAGACGAGTTTCTCGTCTTAGACGGAAATTTAAATTAGATGAATAAATCAAGACGTCTT